GATGGGATTGGCATCTAAGGTACATAGATGACCCCCCTCCCATCACATTATTTGCCAATCAAGACAAAAAGTGAACCCCCCTCTTTCCCCATCATTGTTGTTCGGCCAGCACCAAGGAGAGGAGGAGAATAAGCTCTGAAACTTCATCTTCCATAGCCAAGATTCGAACTCAACCTAAAGTAGTCCAAGGAGGAAGATAAAAGAAGGAAAAAGTTGGGAAAAGTGTGATTAATTAAGGTAATGACCTTATTATAACTTTTCCTTTAATTTTCTTCTACCATATGAAGTATATATCATATTAAGGACCTTTAGCATGGTTACACATGTTATAAGTATGTATTTATGGGTTGAGAGGTGGTTCTATGTCCAAGAACGGACTTAGGAGCCAAAGTAACCGGTTCACCGGAAAATAACCTTTTTGAGGTTATTTGTATTAATATGGGTTTTATGATTATAAAACCTTGTTAGGCACTTGTAAAGGGTATTTCAAGTGATTTCACAAAGTTGGAAAAGTCGCCGGAGTTGTCGCCGGAGTTGACCAAAAGTCGCCGGAGTTTCACCGGAGTTCAACCAAGAAGGGTAGAACTTCTTAACGCTAGTTCAAGGTAAGTGGACGGCTTAATATCTTATAACTTTTGGGTTAATTATGAGATTACCTAAATAAATGTTATATGTGTTCAAAATGATGTTTAAAAGATATTTAAACATGTGATTAGCCAACATTATCAAGTTGTATGAAAAGAATTAATTGATTATGCATGAAATATGATATGAGAAATTATATAAAATGCACATTAGCTTGGAGTGTAAAAGAAGCTCAAATGAGTATTATTGACTTAATTATATGATGATTAAGTTGATATGTACAAGGCTTGAATTGGCGGTCAACGACAACGTTGACCGATGGATGATGGATTAATTAATATCGGTTGATGTTAGTTAATTATACAATTATATAAATGCATGGCTTTGCATGGATTGTGATACATAAGATTTATGTATTGGATTAGTTATGAGTAACTAAGGATGATATAGACTCTATCTAGGTTGATAGGAGGTTGATCCTAGGAAAACTTGGTGGAGGACCCTAGTACTTAAAAAGTACTTAACACTCAAACTTGGTGGAGGACCCTAGGACTTAAAGTCCTTAACACTCAAACTTGGTGGAGGACCCTAGGACTTAAAGTCCTTAACACTCAAACTCGGTGGAGGACCCTAGTACTTAAAAAGTACTTAACACTCAAAAACTTGGTGGAGGACCCTAGGACTTAAAGTCCTTAACACTCAAACTCGGTGGAGGACCCTAGTACTTAAAAAGTACTTAACACTCAAAAACTTGGTGGAGGACCCTAGGACTTAAAGTCCTTAACACTCAAACTTGGTGGAGGACCCTAGTACTTAAAGTACTTAACACTCAAAACTCGGTGGAGGACCCTAGGACTTATGAGGCCTTAACACTCACAAACCGGTGGAGTATCCGAGGATGTTGATCCTAAAACTCATAAATTATGATATACAAATAGGGACAAGGAGGAGTCCTATACACTCATAGGTATATGGGTGGGTTGGGGTTTTTAGTCAAGAATATTGACTAATACTATTTTTCCCAAATAAAATGGTGATCTACGGATCGGATATTTTCCAAGTATATATATACTAATAAGTATTTCATAACTTGGGGGAAAGACTATCTATTTAAGTATCACCCTATGTTTGGGTCTTATACTTGAAACGCTAGTTATTCTATATTTAGCCTGCTACTCGCTCGGTACTTGTACTGACCCCTTCGGGGGGCCCCACCATTTTCAGGTTGAAGCTAGGGCTTGCTACTTGCACCTTCTCACGGGTGATATCAAATCAGGAAGACGTGGTTCGTGCTTCCTTATTTTCTTTCAAACTACCGAACACTTGCTCATGGATATTTGTTCTACTATAAACTATTTTTGGGGCTTGCATGCCCATGTTGTTGGCCGGTTGTGGCTTATGACTTACCGTTGAATATTTCCGCTATTCATTGGTTTAAATGTGATGTTGTTATGTATGTTTACTACTGAGTATGGATGGATTGTTTTCTCGAACGCCTTGTGTAATTAAGTGGGGTTGACTCGCGGGTGACGTCACTTAATTATACGGCGGTTGTACACGCGCTTGGATTGCGGTCTGGGGCGTGACACGGCTTCAGCATCATTGCGAGAGGGGGGAGGGACAGCGACGATCACCCTCATCCGCTCCTTCTCCTCCTCCTCCTCGGCAGTTTGGACCGCTAGGGCCATCTCCTCATCTTCTATCACCTGCTCAAACTCCTCGGCTTCGGCCTCGGTTATGAGTCGGTTTTGGACCTCGGCAGCCACTTGCGAGTCGTTGATGTGCGAGGACTGTTCACTAGAGGATTCCACCTCAGAGATGCTTTCAGATTGCACCGGAGCCTCCCTCGAAATGTTTTGGGAATCGGTTTGCGAAGACATTTTTTTTTTTAAGGGAAAGGATTTCTGGATGAGGAAGGCTACTAATGATCTAGCCGAGGGCTGGCTACTAATGATCTAGCCGAGGGCTCTTAAAATCTCTAACACAACGTCTAAAGGAACGAAGAGCAAAGCACTAAGGAAACGAAGAACGGAGGCAGAACTGACCTTTGGGATTAAAGTCTGATCGAGGGCAAGATTTTCTCTCTCTAGAAAATTCGGCAGAGCTTCGCTAGAGTTTTTGAACGCACAAGAAGAAATGAACTCGGCTCTGGGGTATTTATAGGCAACTGGGCCTCGAGAACTGGGCCTCGATTCGAAAGCCCATCATTACGGGCCGCCGGTTCAGCCAATAGGTGGATACCGCCCACCTTCAACCAACGGCAGCCGGCCACGTCGACCCCTCTTGCAACGGCTCTATTTCAACGGCTACATATCGGCAACACTGGCGTGCCCTCGGATGGTAGCCTCCGGCTATCGCTCACCACACCCTTCTACCAGCAAATTTCACCAAAACGCCTTCGAGCCCGTAGCAACATAAGCCTTCGGCCTATCAATGTTACCACCCCTCGGGGGCTCGTCAACTCATCATAACCCCTTTTCCCTCAAGTACCTTTCGGCAAAAGGAGTGAGGGACTGGGACACACCCCTCGGGAATCACACCCTTCGGCGGAGACAGAATATCAAAAGTTTCCACAAGTCACTTGCGGAAATGAGGCAGCCCTCGTCACAACACATGCAGGCAATACATCTATGCTTTCCCCGGAAAACCCTCGACATGTGAGGGACTGGGAAAAGCCTTCTGCAGTCATACAGGTGTTACACTGCCCTCAGAAAGCCCTCGACATGTGAGGGACTGAGGGGAGCCCCCAGCGAACATGCGAAGGTTACGAATACCTTCCCTCAGAAAACCCTCGACATGTGAGGGCCTGAGGGAAGCCTTCGGCAATCAGCAGAAGACGAATTCTCCAACAAAGGCACCCAACGAAATGATGCAGCCTCCGGGAGAATCAACACAACTACTCCTTTTCCCTCAAGTACCTTTCGGCAAAAGGAGTGAGGGACTCCTGATGGAGTATATGGCCCAAGAACCCCCGGCCCATAGACTCCTACTTCTGCTACACATATCCAATGAGCCCAGAGAACAAACTCAGGCCCAAAAGCAACGGCCCAAGCCCCAAAATAGCCCGAAATACATACTGGGGTGCCTTCGGCCTCCTTGGCCGAAGGCTCCAGAAACTCACGAAGTAGCCCTCTCTGACATACGATGCCACTGGGAGAAAACGGCGAAAAACATGAGCCTTCGGCATTACCATGCCCTCGGCATCAGGGGAGCCTTCGGCTGAACTTAGCCCTCTGCCACTCGGGGCCTTCGGCTACACAGGGGTCCTTGGTTACACGGAGCCCTCGGCTACACAAGAAGCCTTCGGCCAGACATGCTCAATCATCGAAGATTCCTTTTGGGGACAGCCAACCACCGCATTTAATACCACGTCACATCCGCCAACCGCATTCAATGCGGTGAACGTACCACTGCCGGTGCCACCAGGCTGATGTAACCCTTCGGCCGTTGGATTACTGACACATGTACTCTCATCGCATTTATTGCTGCTATAAATAGCAGCCCATTTCTCCTTGTAATCGACATAATCTACACACAACTCCATATCTCGAGTTCATTTAATAAATCGACTCTCTCTCCTCCTATTTGCTCTGACTTCTCTCTAAGTTATTCCCACAATAACCCCTCGGATAAGATACCCCCGGGTAGACTATCCATCAGTATATTTTGTAAAAAATCCGAGCACAGTTGCAAAATTATACTAGTACTCCGTATGCTTTAACAATTCTCCAAAAAGTTACCAAGCCACGGAGTATGGGTCATCCTTCACAATTAATCCAAGCACTTTCATATCTTTTTATGCTTCCTCAAGCAACAGAAGTAATTTGAAGAAGTATATTTAAACACCCTAAAATCGGATTTGATTTGTGCATTAAACTTCTGTTTCTTGCGACAACCACAAAACCGCAAACCTAATCCTAATAAAATATATGAGAGGAAATCACATTTTTATTTCTGGAAATAGTCACCATATTGAAATGTTAGACCTGTATTTATGCGATTGTAAATGTCACCTCTTAATTGTGCAAATTATTGTAAATGTGGTCCTTTGATGAGTGAAATGTATTGCTCACTCACATTATACATTTCATTTTTCAAAGGATCACATTTACAACAATTTAGACAATTGAGGAGTGACATTTACCAACTAGGGAACACAAATCTGACATTTCAATACAGTGACTATTTCAAGTACTAAAAGTGTGATTTTCCCGATATCAAATTCTGCAACATAAATACCACCGTCTTTATGTGTTTCATACTTTCATACAATTACTTTCCAGATTTCGCTAGTCCGGAAAAAAAAACTCCACTGTAAACAGGGCCGGCCCACAGACACCAATCCAAATGGTACAGGACCCCAAATAATTAAAGGCCTAGTATTATTTAGCCTGTCAGCCCAGGTCCAAAAAATAGAAGAGGTCGGACTATCAGACTGAAGACCGATAAGCTCTTGCTCGGCTGCTCTGCACGACTTCAAAACACCCAATCGGCATTCGACTCCGCCAGCGAGTAAGACGTCTCCGCCGCGCCAAGCCGCCGCCTGGCCTCAATTACAGGCTCCAGTCTTCTGAATAGTTCCTGCTGCTCCTGTCTCCACGCTCGCACGGCTCGAAGCCTCACACAGCTCGTAGCATCAAGTCTCCAGGTTTTCTGAATTCTGTCATTTCTCTTTTTAATTACAAATTAGGTTGTTATTTGTCTTATGAAGTTTTTTTTTTTTGAATATTTTGTCTTATCAAGTTATTAACCAATTAAACTCATTGTTAATTGTATATTTTTATTTAACAAACTGTCATAACCGTATAAGTGTGTTATTCCGGATTTTCTTTTTTTTTTTTATTACAAATTAGGTTTCTGTAAAAAAAAATACAGATTATGTTTTTGAATTATCTAATGAAGTTCTTATCTACTCCCTTATAAGAAGGCTCCGTCCCATATAAGAAGGTTCTTTTCTAGGAAACGATTTAATTTTCTAAAATATTAATTATTAAATATTTTTGAACGTCTTATTTTCTAAAATATTAATTATCTATTAAATATTAGCTTTCCTTTTCTGAACGTCTTATATAAAAGTTTCTTTTCTAGGAAACAATTTAATTATTAAATATTAAAAGTAATATTAATACCATCAAAATATGTTATATACCAATCAAAATTATTTCTAAAATATACTCAAATTACCTTATTTAATAAATTTCTAAATAACCGTGACATTTTGCAATGAAAACTTTTAAACAGGGCGGAGGTAGTAGCATTTAGAAAATCTAATTAAACTAAATGTTAATCGTTTAACAAATTGGCAAGACCGTATAGTTCTTAACTAAAAATTTAATTTCCATCATTTGCAATAGAGCCAAAAGTTCACTATATTTTGGTTTGAGAATATGCTAGAATAAGGTAAATATGATGTAATAAAGTTCATTGTTTGCGCTTCTTTGTTATGAAGCAGTAGTCAGTCCATGCAATTTTAGATGCGATTTTCACTATGGGTCATCCGAGAATAGTCTCTCTGTGCTAGTACAGAGGTAAGACTGCGTACATCCAACTCCCCCTACCCTACTGTAGATAGGAGCCTCTGCGGCACCGGGTAACAATAATGATGATGAGCTAAAAATTTAAATTAACTTTTAACTTAAAATTTGTAAACATGTACGGGATTAGTGGAGGATTTCAATAATTTATTATTACTATTACTATTATCATCTTTATTTATGTTCTATTTTACTAGTGTTGGAATGAGAAGCCCAAATTTTTTTGGTTGCACAGGGTCCTCATTTTCTCTGGTCTCGCCGTGACTCTAAACAAAGCTTCAGCCATTTCTCCCCCAGGTGTGGCGTCTCTGTGCTTCACAATCCATGATCCATTGTCAGAAACTAAGAGTGTCATCTGTTGTGATCAAATGTCTTTCTTATTTCTCCGGGTTAACCCACATATATCAGGGAACTAGGTTTTATAGAACAAAACAGAATGCTCTAATTCCGGGCAAAACTCTCCTAGCCATTAGGCAAGAGGCCCAGTCTGCTCTGACAGAGTATCTGCATACCACCAGAAGCTTGCCGTTCACTGATGCCGAGCATATAAGCAAAAACTCACCCCATTTTCTTGAAACCTTGTTGAACAGGGTGAATCTTGAAAATGATGTGGCACGATCCGTTGTACGTTTCCTGCGGTACAATCCCATCAATGAATTTGAACCCTTCTTTGAGAGTTTGGGTTTGAGCCCTTCTGAGTTCTTGCGGTTTCTGCCTCCAAACATTATGTTCTTGAACGATGACACATCCTTGATGGAGAACTATCATGCTTTGTGTAACTATGGTGTTCAAAGGAATAAGATAGGAATCATTTACAAGAAAGTCCCAGAGGTATTCCAGTATGCGCCCGGTTTTTTGAAATCAAAGCTCCGATCTTTCGAAGAGTTTGGCTTAAATCAGACCACAGTTGCTAAGTTTGTATGTTTGAGTCCCCACCTTCTGAAAGAAAATGTACATAGAGACTTCTTTATGGTTCTTGATAAGTTAAAGAGTGTTGGAATCGAGTCAGGGGTTGAGTATGAATGGATTAAAGGAAAATTATCAATTGCTGAATCTTACAACTGGAGGCGTGTGTGTGAAGTGATGTTTTTGTTCAATAATTTGGGTTTCAGTGAAGAACAATTAAGAAATCTTGTATGCCAGAATCCAGAGCTTTTGTTTGACACCTCTGGACATAGTACATTTTCACTAATTGGATTGATGTTGAAATTTGGATCTGCACGGGATGATTTAAAGAACATGTTTCTCAACCTTCCCAACATCAAAGTTGGAAAGTTTCTTAGGAATTTGCGAAGCAGTTATGTTTTCTTGGTTGGCATCGATATGATTAACCATGATATTGGCAACATGTTTCGTGCGCACAATGTACTCCTGGGTTCATGTTCTTTGAAAAAAGTAGTTACCTTGCTTTCAAGCTTGAAAACTGGGAAGAAGAAGATTTGTAAAATGATCTTGGCGGATCCTAATATTCTGAAGGAATGGGTATTCGGGCTGAAGGTCGGCCCGGTTTCCTCAACTGAGGAGGCTGAAGAGGATTTAAAATCAAAAGCCATGAAGACGAATTTTTTGTTGAGTTTAGGGTTCGTTGAGAACTCAAGTGAAATGGAAAAAGCTCTCAAAGCGTTCCGTGGCAAAGGGTTGGAGCTTCAAGAGAGATATGATTGTTTAGTCAATGCCGGTCTAAATCCAAATGACGTGGCAAAGATGGTGAAAGTTTCTCCTCACATTCTCAACCAAAGTAAAGAGCACATTGAAGCAAAGATTGAATTTTTCAAGAGCACATTGGGAATTCCCGTGTCGTGTTTGGTTTCTTTTCCAAATTACATCTCTTACACATGTGAGAGAAGCACTCTTCGGCTTTCAATGTACAAATGGTTGAAAGATCAAGGGCGGGTGAGGCGCAAATTGGCATTGAGCACTCTTATAGCTTCCTCAGAGAAAATATTCATGAAGACTTATGTGAATCCTCATCCTGGTGGTCCTTGTATGTGGGAAAAACTTAAGAGAGAAGTTTATCCCAACTGATTGGATTGTGTTTATCCGTAGAGTCTAACTGCATGTCTGCATGGCTACATGCTAGATTGATGTATGATTCATGATAATCTGGAACTGCAGGACATCATAATCCCAGGTTTGAAGATTATTTTAGTATTTCCATATCTTGATTCCCAAGTTCTACGGGGTCGGGGAATTGGAATTGTGAAATGTAAACAACTTTTTTACTTTAGTTTTCTAAAGGTTTCCAAATGAATTATGGAACACCAAAATGCCACTCTAGGAGCATGTGTGATCCTGGGGATTTTGGAGGGAGTGGAAACGAAAGATTCATTGTTATTTTACCAATGTATCTAATATTTGTCAGTTTTGGACTAGAAATAACTGTATGGTTAGTTAGATCAGGTATATCTATATGGTTTTTTATTTTTATTTTAACTGTCTAAATGTAGATATTATTTAAAAAAATAAATATATCCACTTCCCTTCGGATTCCTTCATGCAAACAAGCAATGAGTTTGTGGGCATCATAGTTTGATTATTATCTGTATTGCAGAGTCTTACCTGATTTTCGCTCCTAGATTTTCACAATAAAACAGTGTTTGTTTCTTCACCTAATATTAATGCATTTCACATATTTGTAGCTATTAATTTTATGCTCAAAAGCTTATACAATATTCCGTCACAGATAACAATGTTAGAAAGTGATGTCAAGCTAACAGCTGCCCATTATTTGCCTATTAAAAGGGCCTTTGTATTCTGATGTAGAAACAAAAAATAAATTTGAATATCAAATAAATGGTTATGCAATCAAGCATTCCTCTCTTTTGTTGATATCATATTCCTATATGACAAGGTGTTTATTCAATTATTGAAATGTGCCCCAAGCCCCAACTTCATTTGTCTTATATTCGAATTGGAATTGGTGAAGATACTAAGAGCTGCCTCAAACTCGTTGTAAAACAAGGCCACAGAATACCAAGAGCCTTTACAGCCCATGAATCATTTAGCGTTCAGGACATATTTTAAACGGAAGGAATGTTGTGTGCAAATTTGGGCTGAATATTCAAATAACATGCTGTGAATTGGTATGCCGGTATGCCCTAATTGTGGCTGATTCATTTTGTATGAATGTTTGCTACTACTTTAGGCTTACGTTGGTCAAATGATTAAATTTCATAACCTTTAAATTTAGAGCAGAATTAAAAAAATATTAATTATAAAAAGATTAGTCGCCTTCACGGGAAAATGAAAACTAGTTATATTTTTATTTTCCAAAAGTATGGGCTTTTATCAATTTATCTTATTTTATACCATAAATATTCAATAATGTAACATAAATGATATTGAGCCACTTCAAATATGGTCGTTCAAAACTTCACATCATCCAATCAAGCAATCAAATAAAGCCTATGTGACAATTGATGAGATACGAATTAATTAAGAGTATATTATTGTTGGTTGACATACGATGATACGTAGTAGAAGTATTAATTAAAAAATCTCAACTTATATATTATAAATATAAAAAGGACGCCTCTAACCGTCTAACGTTTTCTGCATAAAGGACCACTTTGAAAGAGTACAACACCCCAGAGGGCTCCCAAGTCCCCAACACCGATCGGACGGCACAATGTGAGAATGTAAATTGGACTATAATCACGGTCTGACAGATAGAGAGTGAGGCTCTTCACCGATACTTGCAGAGGTCCTATGCATTTTTGGTATAGTAACCTCTCATTGCAGTTGCCGGGATTCGAACTCAGGACCTAACCCTTTTGGGACTCCCTTGCTACCAGTTGAGCTACGCCCACCGGTGAGTATAACAATAGTTGTATGAGCTAATGTACGAATTAGCTCCCTCCAGAGATGCTTACCTTTGATGATGGGCATGGCAATACTATATCCTTAGACCTTCATTGGTGTCACTTATTCATTGATACCACCAACTACTAGAGCCCTAATTTGTGGAGAGTAATTTGTTCACCCTCATTGAAGAAGGTGATGATCACCCTCGCGGCCTCACGCCTATGGGGCTGTTATGTGGCATGTTAGTACTTTGTCGCCATGGTGTGTTGTGATTTCGAACTGTGTAGATGACCATATTTATAAGTTATGACAAACTATAAAAAAAACTATAGTCTTAGTTTTTTTTGTATTGAGTATGTAATATCTAGTGAATCATAGCTTGAATTGCTCACCTACCTCGTTTATTGCTGTTGAAAAAAAATCAAAGATGTTTTACATTTGAAGAAATCCTATGCATTTAATGCATTTTGACCACATAAGCAAGATACTCTTGCTAAATAATGCTTGGGAATCGAAATATATTGCATGGAAATCGTTATTCATTAAATGATAATCTCTCACAGTTCATGGTACTCTGTAAATCACAAAAATTTGAAGAAAAAAAAGTAAATCTTGTAATTAATGTGGAGACAGATTGTTCAACCCTAGGCTCATATCTGGCGAGCTGTTTTTTACCACGAAAAATGGGTGGGAAAAGTGGCTGACTGGCTACTATTCCACTTCGATTTGTATGTAGTAGTAGGATTGTTCAAAGTTGTCTTCAACAAGGGTAGTATCATTTAGTTTGGTTGAAATTGCCCCTATCATCGAGATGATAGTAATTTTAAATTTTTATGAGATAAGTGGAAATGTTTTTTTTTTAGGCGAAGGGGGTATAATTTAAATCTCTTAGCCAAATACCTCGAATTTTATGACTTATGTATGTATTTATGTTTATATAACTTTAATTTAATTTAATAAATTAAACCCTCACGTTAGGAGAAGGCGAGAAGCCCGTATCTGCTATCCATTTTTTAAAGTAATCAAGTCTAGTGTTCGTAATTTGTGTTACACAACCACTTCCAGGCTAGGCCATATAATGTTCATTGTAACCAAATTTAACTCAATGTTTCACAAGGACAAAAAAAACATAAAGAATGTTATATAGTGTTGCACATTACTCTTAGTTACTTTATCATCCATTCTATTGACAAATTAATAATGAAATAATTATGTATATGACTAAAAAGGAATGTTATTTATGAAAATATGATCTTCTAACTCTAGTGAGTATACTAATAACTTTATCAAGTAATTTAGGGGAAACTGTCAATTTGGTACTCGTGCTTTCATGAAAAAGTCAATTAGGTCCTCGTACTTTTACAAAGATCAATCAAATCCACGAGCTTTGTAAAAACGTTCAATTGAGTCCATTTGCAGGTTAATTTCCATCAACAAATGTCTGATTGGGCTTCCACATGTGTGTCACGTCAGCAAAATTATTGCTGATTGTGCTGCCACATGTGCCCCACGGCAGCGGCCGACCTGCTGGCATGGCAAGTAACCTGTAAATGGACTCAATTGAACGTTTTACAAAGTTCGGCGACTTGATTGATCTGTTTAAAAGTATGAGGACCTAATTGACTTTTTCATAAAAGTACGAGGACCAATTTAACAGTTTTCCCAGTAACTTATGTTCATTTTTACACTTAACCCTGATTTCATACACAACATAGCAATATCTGTGGGCGGCTATTAAATGGAAGTATCTATATTATTTCGGGAGTATCAAATATAGATACTTCCAATTTAATAGCCGCCCAAATGACTACAAGATGTGAAACATTAGTAAAGATGATTTCGTGAGTATGGAAAATATTGGAATATTATAATTTGCTAATTTGTTGCTTGATGAGCATTAATTGAAATCAATTTTGTTAAAAGACTTAGATGTAACTGCAAATAGAGAACTAAAAATATTATTTGAATTTGAATTGAACTATCAGTACTTTAGTTTTTGAAATCTAATCTTTTAAATTTTATTATAATTGTTAATTTTTAGTATTGTTATTATTTTATTTATGAACCTCTGAATTATATATATTTGCAAATTATACCCTATATTATTATTATTATTATTATTATTATTATTATTATTATTATTATTATTATTATTATTATTATTATTATTATTATTATTATTATTATTATTATTATTATTATTATTATTATTATTATTATTATTATTATTATTATTATTATTATTATTATTATTATTATTATTATTATTATTATTATTATTATTATTATTATTATTATTATTATTATTATTATTATTATTATTATTATTATTATTATTATTATTATTATTATTATTATTATTATTATTATTATTATTATTATTATTATTATTATTATTATTATTATTATTATTATTATTATTATTATTATTATTATTATTATTATTATTATTATTATTATTATTATTATTATTATTATTATTATTATTATTATTATTATTATTATTATTATTATTATTATTATTATTATTATTATTATTATTATTATTATTATTATTATTATTATTATTATTATTATTATTATTATTATTATTATTATTATTATTATTATTATTATTATTATTATTATTATTATTATTATTATTATTATTATTATTATTATTATTATTATTATTATTATTATTATTATTTATAAATATACTCCGTACCTGTTTCCTATAATTTTTGAAGTTTTCATATCGTCGTACCAGTATTCACATATCGACGTATCGACATATCCGTATTCATGCAACATATCCCATCAATACTGTCACTGTCTCTTAAAAACTCTTTGTATGTATTCAACTTTAGGATTATCCTTAATAAATTATCTTTTGTTAAAGAAATTGTTATCAATTTACTCTACTACACTAAAAAAGTAATAAAGATATATGCATTATCGAAGTGTTGAATAATGTCAAGTATTGTCAAAGTAATGTATGGATATTTTTAAAATTGAATTTTTTTTTTAGATAATTTGAGTTTGCACCCTATTTTATTGTATGTCTAAATTGGACTTATACATCTCATTTTTAAAAGGCTAAAAGGTCAAATAGGCCCTTGAACTGACTTAAAGTATTCAATTAGCCCCTAAAATAGGAGGTTTTGCCCGGCCGTCGCCAATTGGGGCGGTTCCCGGTGGAATTTTTTGATGAACTTTTTTGAGCATCTTCTTCATTAAGTCTAGTTTACTCATACCAAATTTCAGCTAAACATTCAACCGGGAAGGCAGTCAAATGATTTTTTTGAAGATAACTGCGAAGTTAAACAACGCAGTACATTTCAGAAAATCATTTGACTGCCTTCCTGATTGAATTTTTAGCTGAAATTGGTATGGGTAAACTAGACTTAATGAAGAAGATGCTCAAAAAAAATTTAAAAAAAATCCACCGGGAATCGCCCCAATTAGCGACGGCCGGGCAGAACCTCCTATATAAGGGGCTAATTGAACACTTTAAGTTATTTCAAGATCCTATTTGACCATTTAACCTTTTTAAAAATCTTTGTTTTGCACCACAACACCATACAAAAAGACAAAAATGCCCCTCCATTAACAATTTTGGGCCTTCAACATACTTGTTGGGATATTGGACTCCAGCCTAACATCCGGCTCAAACTGTCCTCAATAGGCCCAGAGGGGAAGATAAGCTCAAAAGAGGTCCAGCGGGTCTAAGCAGTCCCGCACGGAAGATCCTCAGTTAGCAAGGAAGCCGTTCGGCCTCTACCAAATGGGCTAGAACCTAAACTTAGTAGGCAGACAACGTTCTTGTCTACTAACAGCCTGAACCTAGAACCCGATCGATGAACCTTGCGAGTGGCAAACTGCATTAAATGCTAGGGTATGGCGGCTGCAAGTGGGGGCATGGGTACACAAGTGGCAACGAAAGCAACCAATCTGTT